GAAAATACAGTATATCATCAAGATGTGCCACAGATGAGGTTCTTTGCTTTTCTCTCAAGAGGAACACCCAACAGTCAATTAAAGATGCTTCACTAGAGAACCCTAGGGGACAGAAACACCCCTAGACATCACAATCAACATGGCCTGCACAAAATGGAGAACACTGACTTCATAGGTGGACAGAAACTGCCAGAGAAAAATACTGTACTCTGCAAGACTCTTTTTCATATATGAGGGAAAAATAAAGGCATTCCCAGACAAAAGCTGAATTGAACAACAGCAAGTCCACCAAAAAATAAATAAATAAATAAAAAGTGAGTAAGAGTAAGAAATAACTAGAACCAGAAAGATAAAGACAAAATAGCAATAGCAGATTATTCATATATCAATAATCACCTCTAACATAAATCAAAAAGCATAGAATGACAATGGCTGGATCATTAAAATTAAAATATTTGCAGTACAAAGGAGACTCACCTGAGCTCCAAAATAAACATTTGCTCAAAGTAAAAAGATGGAAAACAATACTACAAGCTAATGAAACCATATTAAAGGAAGGGACTGTCATACAGATAACAAGTACAACAGACTTTCAGTTAGAAAATCTAACAAAGACAGAGAAGGACATTATATAATAACTAATCAAAACTATGATCAGGAAGACATAACATTAGTGTAATGTACATATATATGCATCAAACTGGTAAGACAAAATACATAAATATAAACCAACTATTAACAAACCTCAAAACAAACACTGACAGAAATATTTGTATTAGTAGAGAATTTCAACACCCCACTCACATCAATACACAGATCAATGAGACTGAAAATGAACAAGGAAACAACAACCTTAAACAAGGAATTAGGCCAGATGAGTTTAACATACATTATGAGGCACTGAATAAAAACAAACAAACAAACAAACAAACAAAACTGAGTACACATTACTCTCAAGTGCATACAGAGCATTCTTAGTATAAATCATATGTTGCGTCACAAAATAAGTATCAAACAAATTCATGAGTATTGAAATATCAGGTCACAGTGCTATCAAATTATAACACAACAACAAAAAGAGAAGGGAAGAAACACAACTTTATGGAAAAGTAGTAAATAACTCATGGTACAAAAAAGAAATCAAAAGAGAAATTAAAAAAATACCTGTACACAAAAAAGTATACAAGCTGCTAGATCTTTATGGGATGCAGGAAAAGCAGTGTCAGTAAGTATACAGAAATACAGACCAACATCAAGACAAAGAAAAATCTCTATAAACAAATTAACTCTACATCTTAAAGAACTAGAAAAATAAATGCAGCCAAAAGTCACAAGAAGGAAGGAAATAATGAAAATTAGAACAGAAATTAATTAGAAATGAAAAAGTAGAAAAATCAATAAAAACAAAAGCTGATACTTTTAAAAGAAAATAGGGATGCCTCTAGCTTGGTTTACTCAAAAAAAAAAAAAAAAAGGTGAGAGAAGTCTAATGTGAAGGAGAACTTAACAATAGACATTTCAGAATTACATAGTATGATTGAGAGACCCCAAATAGCCAAAACAATTCTGACAAAGGAAGTCAGAGGTATCACACTTTCAGATTTCACACTATATTCTAAAACAATCAAAACTGGCATTGCAATAAAAATAGACACATACTAATGGAACAGTATTGAGAGACCAGAATTTAACTGTGCATATATGTGTGGGTTTATCTCTGACAAAGGTATCAAGATTATACAATAGAGAAAGGGAAGCTATATATAGAAGAATGAAACTAGACCACTATCTTACACTATAAACACAAATTAACTCATATGGTTAAGACTAGGATATAAGACCTGAAAGCATTAAAATATATATATATAAAGAAAATATAAGCAAAATACTCCATAACCTATTCTCAACAAGATGGGACATGAGCAGTATGGGCAAGTGATCCAGTCAGTGCTCTAGTCCCAATCCTGCTGCAGGTCCTGCTCCAGGCTCAGCACCAACTTTCATAGCAGCAGCAACCACACAACAGCTCCTGCCCCATCCAGACCTCAGTACTGGTTTCAACACAGGCTCTTGACCCAGTAACTGCTTGTCCTATTTTTCCAGGACCCTTTCTCAACAGTTGAATGGTTCAGAAAGCAACAAGTAAGGTGCTACCCAAGTCATCAGGCCATTGCTGGGAACTGCTGACAAATACTCAGTGGAGGTTGCAAACTGATTCGTAGCGCTGAACAAGCCAGAAGATGTAGTGGCTGTTGACATGGAATTTGCTAAGAACATATATGAATTGCACAAGAAAGTCTCCAAGTGAGCTCATGCTGGGCTGTTATACATCACGTCACAAAGCATTCTGTGTTGACAAAGAGTAGGCCTAATTCCATGCACCTCCCTGTGGAAGTTTCTAGAATAGCCATGTGAGCATCAAGGCCTTTAATGGATGTCCCAGGGAGGACCATGAGGATGACATTTACAACTCTGATGGTGAAATATGTGTATTAGGACACTGAATGCTTTTACCTGAACATGAAGACTTGTTTTTGCCCCTACCAGGTGAATGAACTCTCCAGTGACTGGCAGCAAGTAGGGGAGTCACTTACTCACAGTCAGTATGCCCGAAGCATAGTATTGCACTATGCAGAGCATGTACCATCTGGGAGTCCAGCAGACAATACCATTGGTCACTTCTTGGAAAGTCTGGCTAGCCAAGTACCTAAAGTAGTTTCCAATGACTTCAAGGCCAAGCTCATCAATGACATTATTTACCTCCTTATAGTGACATGCTTGGCCAATCTTATGCAATCCCATAGGGCCCTCAATGAAAGCTTGTACAGCTGTGAATAGGTCCAGAAAGTATTCCTGCCATTTTAAGGCCAAACACTAGGATTCAGAATGAAGCTGAATAGTTTCTTTTTGGTTTAAATCACACTGAGTCAGTAACTTCTTATGACTCTAAAACATATGCTACCTTTTACTTTTAAAAAAATTCTATGACATGGGCTTATGTGATGTCTTTGGAGACTCAACTTGAACAACAAGGGAAAAAAGTTAGAGTTAATAAGTGAACTATAACAAGCTGAAAAGCTTTTACACAGCGAAAGAAACCATCAAAAAAAAAAAAAAAAAAAAACAGAAAACACCCTATTGAAATGGGAGAAAATATCTGCACATCATACCTCTGACAAAGGAGAGACTCCTATCCAATATCTACAAAGACCTCTTAGGACACAGGAAGAAAAGCACCCAATCAATCAATCAATACATACATACATACATAAATACATACATACATAAGCAGAAGAGTTAAATAGGCCCTTTCCAAAGCATACAGCTGATGAACAGACACATGAAAAAGTGCTCATCAACACAAATCAAGTTAAAGCAAATCATAATGAAATAGCACTTCACACCTGAGAGAATGGGCCATATCAAAAAGAGCAGAAACAAATGTTGGAAAGACATGGAGAACTAGGACCTCTCTTATAGAGTTACTGGGAACATAAACTGCTCAGCAATTGTGCTGAGGTTTCTTAAATATTAAAAATAGATTGATAGCATGATCCAAACATTGTACTCCTAGAAACACTCAAAGAATTCAAAAACACTAATGTGAAGGGATATGTGCACTTCCAAGTTCACTGCCCACAATGGTATATTAATCAGCTATTTAAAAAAAAAATGAAATTTTATCATTTGCAACGACATGGATAGAACCAAAAAGGATTAAACTAAGTGAAATGAGTAAACAAAATAAATACTGGGTTTCTTCACTCACACAGGATATTAAGAAATAACAAAGGAACAGACAAAACTAAATCAAAACACCCAAGAAATCTGAATTTAGAATTGAGAAGATCAGAGGAGCAGGGTTGGTGGTAGAGAGCAGAAGCATGGAGAGGGGGCAGGGCAAAGGAAAAGTAGAGAATTTTTCTTTGCTTGTGGAAGTTTCATATTGTGGCAACATATATCGGAATGACAATGTTACTTCGGTAAAAGAGCTCTTATGAAAAAAATAAAATTCCAAAACACTTCATTAAAGAGAAATCAGACTATTTTTCCAAAATGGATATTTGATTACTTCCTGGCCAATAGTTATAAAGGCTTAGCTGACTCCTTCAATTGATCAACAATGTTCAGAGGAAACAATTACTTAGATAATTCATCTTAAAATACATTTTTTTAATTATAGCATTCTTCTAAAGAGTATGTATATTTCCAATCTTAAAAATAACCTTAAAAATATTATTAACATCTGTATTTTATAAATAAGGAATATGGGCTCAAAGAGTTAAAAATTTGAACGCACTACAAGTAACACTAGCAAAAATAAGAGTAGGATCTAGGTTTGTCTAACTAGTCTTTTTTCTACTATACTAAAAAAATATATACAATATATTTTTCACATCATGTCAAATTTGGACTAAAAATTTAAACTTATTATCTAGTGCCTGACATTGCCAGGTAATTTTTTTATACATAAGATTTTTTAAAAAAGGATGTTCCAGAGATTACAATTAAGTCTTCTGCTATCCAGTATTAACTTTGACAAAATAATGAAAACAGAATTCTGTCATCTTATGATGATTCACTTTAAGAAGTGTGAAATTTTCACCTGGCTCATTGTGCTAGAAAATAAACCTCTGAAAATTCAAAAGGCAAACGTGAATACAATGAGTTATTATTTATTAATTTTATGTACTTTAGACTTTTAAAAGATTTCTTAGATTTTTTTATATGATAGTTAAAATCCTTTCAAATTCATACTCTAATGACTAACACATTTTTCTCCATATAGCTCATATTCCATTATGACAAATAACTATAAGCAAAGAAATTCCAGAACAGTCTCAGTCTATAATATAATAAACTTTCTAAAACAAATTACCGTGACATCTCTAGATTCCATGCCTAATAAATAACTTGACAAGTAGGAATAAGTCTATCAAAAATTAGCAAGTGAATCAATCCCTTTTATCCACATAGGAACTATGAATATATTTACTCACGCCATGTTCCTTAGCAGCTGTGACAACTTCCAGGAGGACATCTTCATCAACGAATGGTCTCACAGCATCGTGGATAATCACTACTTCTGGCTTTGAGAGCTTGGAGCTGGGCTGATCCTCGGCCAGTGCTTTTAGTCCATTAAAAATTGACCTGTGACGAGTCACTCCAGCTTCCACTACCGAGATGCGTTTATGCTGGTATCTCTGTATAATAGTATTCATTGCTTCCATATTCTCTCCAGTTACTGCCACAACAATGTCCTTTATCCAACATACTCTAAAATTAAAGTATGCATACATTTTATATAAATTGATTCTTAAATTGAAGTTACTGTAGTAACAAAAGTACATAACCAATAAGTACTAATATTGGTTCATCTTATCTACTAAAGCAGTATAATATCTTACAACAAGTTTTAAGGTTTATAAAAATGCAGGAAACTCTTCATTAACCTGGTTTACTAGAAAGGTTTAAAATAAAAATAATCGTCTCCATGCAATCTGAGGTTTTTGAACATTCTGTTTCTAGACATTTGACTTTTTCTTCTGATTTCTAAATCTTAAGGCTTCTGGTAGACCAGGATTACTTATGTTTTATCTGATACCTGGAGAAACTTTAATCAATAGTAAAGAAATTTCACAGTTATATTCACAGAATATCAAAGAATAAAATATATTGTAATCACAGAAACAATTAAAAGGATTCTGAAATAAGACTAAGTGTAAGTTGCTTTTTGTTCTGTAACCCCCTCCCCTTTCATTGCAAATATAACAATCAATAGAACTTACAACTGGCTCACTATTCTTAACAAAGTTCTTAGCAAGTAACGCTCCTCAACACCTCTCTAAAATAGAATCCCCAAGACCCTGTTTTCACAACCACACCTGTGACATAGGTAGACATTTCTCCCACAATTTATTGCACTATGTCTGATCTATACCTTCACATCTCATCCCAACACAATCCATTCTCAGCCCTTCCACCTGCTTTTTCTCAAATGTAAATCTAGGGCCATCTACTGCTGACTGCTGAGCAAGGTCCTTCAATACCTGACCACTCAGTCTACTTCCTACACCACTGGGTCTCTTCATGCCCTTACTCTACTGACCACATTCTCTCTCACAGCCAGGCCTTCACATATGCCCCCATCTTTATCATGTTCCCATCCCCACCATTCCTTGTTCATTCCTACTTTTTTTTCAGTTTTCAATTCAGATATAGCCTCTTTCAGGAAGTCTTCCTGTTATTTTGGGTAGGCTACCCCTGTTTAGGACTTTCTTATCATCAGAAAGTCTTATCAGACATGATACTGTACTGTTTCAATTTTAGCTCCCACCACAGACCTTCAACTCATAGGACGTAAAAACTATACCTGAGGGCTCAAATGGTGCTAAACTTTTAGTAAAATTAATAGTAGAGAGAGTAGCTAAGAGATCTGAAATTATTGCTAGGAGCCATGCATTATAGAATATTTTGCCTACAATATCTCACTTAAATTCACATCAGCTTTGTGAGAGACATCATTATTATCTCCATTCACAGAGGTACTGGACTGCTCATAATCACATCCAGGAAATGAAGACACCAGACTGGACCCCCCAGTATGACTATGGAGCTCTCACTGTTAACCAACGTAAATACACTAACACTTTCATAGAGGGGGAGGTCATAAAATCCAAAAGCAAAAATCTCATGTCTAGATCATTGTATCTCCCACATGTCGTTTCTATTATTAGTGATAAACCACATAACTTTGCTGCTTTTGTGATTAAAAAATGGTCACGTTTCTTTTAACTTCTTGTTATAATTTAAAAATAAGTATTCATTTTTTCATTTACTCACTAAACACATTATCAAGCAAGCATTTAAACTCTGCCAGGCAAATGTAGATACTGGTGATACAGTAATGAAGACTAACAGAGTTCATGACTTCACAGATAGTATGCCAATAAATACCTGTTAAACGAATAAAGGAAGCTTGAAATTTTAGAAATAAACTGCTCTTAACTTGTAGAAAAAAATTAAAGGTAACATTATTGTTAATTACAATTGGACTATATTTTGTACAGGCCATATAATCAGCACTCTTTTCAACTAAATCAGTAGCAGGTTTTGCCAAAAGGCAAAACCTTATTAACTTGTCCCCAAAGCTTACCATCTCTCTTACTTTTCATAGCATATTCCACCAGAAAAATAAAGGCTAAAAGCCATTTTCAAGACATTTCTACTGCTATTTCTTAATGAAAAATTACATTGAATTAAATGTTGAAAAACATATTAAAAGGTGGGATATTGCTTTGACATGGCATAATCATTCAAATAACTAGTCAATGAATAAATTAATAAACTCCCAAAGGCAAATTCCACTGTTACAAAAAGGCCTTAAAATAGTTGTAAAATAATTCTCTATGTTTCATCAAACAGAAAGTAGCCAAGGTAGATGCAAAAAAATAACAAATAGATGTATTTATGGTCTTAGAATGTTTCACACAATTGTATCAGACTCTAAAAAGGAAATAATGATTTAAACCAATATTCCTTAAACTGTAGATTCATTAGTGTGCCATGAACCAATTTAGTAAATTCAGATTAACATTTTAGGGTAAATGAAGTAAAAACTGTGTAACAAGAAAGTTACAAAGCAGAGCAAAAATAGTAATATAGGTTTTTGAGAAACTTCCTTTCATATCTTTTTATAAGGATAAATTTGTCACTGAGTCACAATATAGACTGTACTTCTTAAAGCAAGTCACATTAATGTGTGGGAAATAGTGTTTTAGACCACTCTTAAGACATAACGGGTTTACGCTGCTATTTTGTTCAAAAGCCAAGAATATACCTAGTACTTTCAAGCCTTTATAAGTACTGTTTGTATTTCAAAGGATTTATTCACATTCTTTCCTAGCTAAGAATTAAAAGTCTTTTACAGTATTAAGATTTAAATAGGTAGATTCATGGGATTGAAAAAGACCTTAAGTACCTCACAGGGTGCCTACTGAATATTTGCTGAATCAATAGATTTCTTCGACCTCCTTAACTCAAGGCAAGTCCACACCAGATGGCCTATAACAGGATTATATCTTCCTAACATATTTTATAGGTAAATATATATAAATCTAAACTCAAGCACCATTACTTTTACATATATTTTGAGGAAAAAATATCTCAAATACTTTCTCAAAGAAAAAGCATAGGAATACTCTGCTGAGTTTAAGAAAGTTAGTTGACTTATTTAAATGTGCTTTTTTAAATAAAGACTTTTAAAAAAATGAAAAATCAAGCCCTCTTAATTCCTCTAAATCTCTCTCATCCAGGCTGCAGAAGTTTGGCCCCAAGGGATGGTGGCAGCTGCTGTTCACTGCCTTGACAGCTTCCATGGAAATTAAGCCTCTGAATTGTCCCTGAGTCATAATTTATAGATTTCCATCTCTCCATATCCACCCTGGTATTTCTGCAGCCAAGTATTAAAATGGTGTCAGGAGGCTGAGTCCTGATTGCCTTCACAATTTCAAGTCTCCTTACTATCCGCAGGAAGACTTCCAGTTGTCCATTCCAACTTACTAGTTCTGGTCCAGCTTTTGTCTTCTTAAAGGAGGTCAGTGGAGGTCATAGAGAACTTTAACAGAATGTAACCAACTAACCTGTACAAACTATAGTCTTATTGCAATTTTTGGTACAAAATACAGGCCTATTCCTCCCCTTGACTCAGATTCAATCCTGTATTAATGAATCATGAAGACTAATGTTTTAAAAGCCAAATGTATGTATGTGTGAGTGTGTGTGTGTGGGGGGGGGGATATATATGATATATATAAATATATATGTACATTTATATATTTATATATATGTAAGCAGTCAGATATATACAACTGAAAGCATCCTAAAAATCCTTCCTATTCTGAGACCCTAATACTTCTTAAATCAGGAAATTCTTCCTCCTAAATATTTCGCAAACCTTCCCTATACTATTTCTAGTATCTAAGCTTAATTTAGGCAATTACATCCCTTGTTTGAATTAAAATTTCTGTATTCATTTCTAGTATATCTTGTTCAAACAGATGTGCCACAGCTTTTCAGAAATATAGCAGGACAACTGTTTTTAAATATACAAGTAGTAAGATAAGAAAAAAATTCAAATTTAAAATCCAGAGATTCTAAAACATAAATGTACAAATCTACAAAATGGGTTTTTTTCCCTCACTTCCTCTGGAATTATATCACTCATGAAGACTAACATTAACCAAACTAAAAAGGAACTGAAACCTGAATTAGAATACCAATATATTAATATGCAAAAGAGATACAATATCCAAGACTATTTTGTCTTGGAGCACAGCACATTTTCTGTTTATGAAAATTTTATATGGAAAGTTAAATTATAATAAGGTTTCAGATGAGCAAGAAAACAAATGTAGGAACAAGGTGCTCGTGTAGTGCCCTCCACCTAAGAAAATTCAAATCTCACACGCTATAGGGAACACTACCATTCTTCCCACCCCACCAGCCAACCATTACTATGAATCTTAACAAGGATAGCTTAAGTTTGTTTCTTTAACCTGCTTTTGTTGCTCTCACTTTTTTTTTTCCAGAATAATTAACCCTCATTAATGAAACTCTTTCCTTAACTGTTTGAAACCACAACATAATTACTTAAGGATTTTTACCCCCCTCTTCAGATGTGGAGTATATTTTAAAACAGCAAAATCTGGATAAAGGAATCGATCAACTGTGAGTGGATTTTACTAGTGAATTACCAGAGTTTTATGCCCCTATTAAGAATAATAGTATCATGTAATTTCTTTACTTGGAGCAATATTTCCTTTCCGACATACAGGTCACAAATAGTTACATAAGGAACTAATAACCTTGATCTCCATTCCTTATGAGTAAAATAAGAAAAATTCTCTTCAATTGCAATTTGTAGCTCAAATCATTTATTTCAAATTCCTCTTAAAGGTCAAGAGAAAACTTTTAAACTCCTAAAAACATTTTTAATCAACTTCTTTGAAAGACCCTTGAGCCTAATACAACCCAGAAATTAGTTATTAATCTATTTGGTCCTTTTAGTTATACCCATAATATACATACCTGAACTTGCATAAATTTAATGTAGTAAATGGACATATACACTTATACACTTACCATGTCTAGATATATGTGTGTTTGTGTGTGTATACACGCAATGACTAATTGTAATAAATTTTTATAGACTCTAGTTTTCCAGTTTTATAGACTCTAAACTCCATTTGTCTGAGACCTTAGTCAACATGTTTCAGATTTAAAAGTTCAGAGATTTTTTCTATATCATTTAATCTGATAATTGGCTTTCTAAGAAACTCACTGCCATTCAAGAACATGGCTAAAGTAAATAAATGTGTATTTTTCCAGTTTTATCAGAAGGAAAAACAAGTCAATTCACAAAATAAATTTTTTCTCAATGTCTCTTCCAACTTTTCAATTATAGATCAGGCACTTTAGTAAGTAATCTGTCTGACAACTTTAAAAACATACTTGAGTTTTCCTTAGAGGCTAAGGATCTCATCATTCCAAAAATGCAGTCTACCTCTTAATTCTTACTATGCCATTGAACATCTCCCCTAGCCATTATCTGAGCTACCAAAAAAGTCTTCACTGTTCTCACAGGACAGTCAAACTATTCCTTTTAAATGTTGTAACTAACTGTCATCTTTTTGGCTCTCTCTGCTCTACCTTCAGAAGTAACATGGTGCAGTGCAGTAGTTCCTGACCCTTTCTAAGTTCCTTTGGCTTCAGTCTTAGCTTCACAGAGCTGTTCTACCTCAATACTTATGTTTCAGCTTTCTTAAGAAAGCTTGTTGAATCTGTTTGGTTACTATTCCTCTCTCTCCTTCCAGTGTTTCATTAATCATTCTTATTTCTGCTCTACCTCCCCTGTCATTCATTTTTCCATTATGTAACTATATCTTTTTAGTCACTTTGGATGGGTCAATGAAGAAGAAGTAGAAATAATCACATTTATATGGTATTAGCAGAAAACAAGACAGGGCCTACTTCTTTACATCTGCCTACTCCACTTTAGGACATTTGTGATCTTCTTTTTCCTAGGTCCTAATTAGTTTCATATTAGTTCAAAGTTCCACAATACAAATCAATGCATAAGGCTGTTTTTCAACTATTATCTTTAACTTCTTGGACAGATAATAACTAAGGAAGAAAGATTACTCACAAGTTCTCAGCCTTCCATTAGTGAGACAGCAAAAGCTTAAACATGGAAAATTCTGATGAAGGAAAAATACAGTGAGTCTTTGAAGTCAAATTCTGAACATCATCTACCTTTAGTTTTGAAGGGCGAGAATTGATCCTTTCTTAATATAACATGATGACTAACCTGCATGACATCCCATTCTTTTCTTATTTGGACCATTGAAAGCTGTCCCTCTACAAGAAGTAAGTATATGTGATTCCTCCAAAACAAACATAGGAATTTCTTTCCTTATTTTCTGAAATATTGATTTATTTATGCATACAGAAAAGGGGTACAGCCATTTCTGTACCCTAGCGGTGGTGAGCGGATTCACCAGAGAAAGAGTGGGGAGCAGAACAGGCAGATCAATAAAGTACACTGCTGAGGGAGCAGCGGGGGAGACAGGAGAGGTCTGCTGCACCATGTGGGTCACTTGGGAGGGGGGTTGGAGGGGGAGTGGGGGGATCAAACTTACATTAAAGTGGCCACCTTTGGCTTAGCTTAGCTTAGCTTTGCAGAAGTCAAACCCTCCCTGGTGAGGGAGGGCCCTCTTTTCTTATTTTAACTTGTATAGTCTTTCAGGATACAATAACATAGGCAAACTATCAACAGTCTATAAAGCCCATCTATTACCAAAAGAGAAAGCTTTCATTTGACAAATGGCCTAGAGGCACCAAATCACATACCCTAAAACATGATTTCCAGAGACATAACCAAAAATATAAGTGGTATTCCATACATTCTTCAGGAATTGTAATAGAGACAAAACTGAGTCGTGAAGTATTTCAAGTAAAGGTTTTGGTTACTATGAGAATTTTATGACTGCTGGTATCAATTAAGTAAATAGAAAACAAGTGTTCTACTTTGTTTTCAATGAACAAGGCCTTTCCAGAACATTCTTTTACTTTAAAAGTGAGTTTTAATAATCACCTACCTCAGGCTGCCTCAGAAGACACAAGAAATGAAGAAATGCAAAATAATGAGTTTTTTTCACAGAAAGGAAAATTAAAGGTAAAAAATATATACAATTCGGGCCCTCCCTGGTGGCACAGCGAGTTAAAGCACAGCACTAAGAAGCTAAAGCCACTTCAACATGAGTTCGATCCCTGCCTGCCTGCCCTGGAGGTGACCCACATGGTGTGGCAGACCTCAACTGACCAGCCCGCTGCTCCCCTCAGCAGTGTACTTCGTGAGTCGCCCTGTTCTGCTCCCCACTCTGTCTCTGATGAATCCTCTCACCGCCCCTGCACCTCTGGCATATACCCTAGTTCTATATACACAAATAAATCTTAAAATACATATATACACAATTCCCTACTCCTAATCACTAAATATCCAAAGGTGCTACTTGGCCCATCAGGTTGCACAGGATCGATCACCTGCCTATCTGAACTATGCTGTCACAATAGGACACTAGTACATGGTCTATGGAGGATTCACACTCAAAGCTTTCAAGGCATCCTCCCCTTCCAATCACCCAGAAACATGAAAGACCACTGACATGAGAAAGACCAGGAAATGGCTCAGTGCTTGTATGAATTTCAGATGTTACCACTGGCCTGGTTACAGGAGTCAAAGGTCATTGTCTCTTTACACTTGTATTTTCCAAATAACAATGTTCAGAAAGTAAAAGTGTCCACCAACTTGGGCCCTTCAACTTCTGGGGTGTGTGTGGAAAAGTGAGGGGAGTGCAGGGGGCAGGGTGAGGGGAGGGCTCATTTCCTGATAACTTGCTACCCTCCCTGAACTAGACACTCACTGGTTTCCTCTTCATTACAACTAGCCATTATGTATCTATACTTACAGACATAAATAAGCCTTCCTCTCATTGGCACAGCCCAGGGACACTATGCTGAACAGATACCATCTATCCTGAAATACAACAACTTGCACTTCAGCCCAAGGTCTAACATGCTAACACAGCTCCCCTCTCGCTGCATGAAATTTAAACACCTGAACGACCTGCACGTAGACCTCTGTATTCTGAGCTTCCCACTCCTTCAGCCTCACCCATGCTCCAAGACTTAACAGGATGTAAAAACTAAGTAAACAACATGCCCCTTTTCACTCCACAGCTCCTCACTATTGCTCCCCTAGTTCACCTCCCTTTTCCTCCCTCCATTTCTTCAATGAGGCCTCTGTTTCCTCAGAAAATAAAGCGCTGATGGGACCTCAATCCCAGAAATCTAGCACCCTCAACTCCATTTCCCAATTGAAAGATCTGAATTAAGCTGTGCTCCTCCGCCCACCTGCAGCACCTAGGAACGAGCAGGGCCTGTGATGAGGGGATTTTCAATGAAGCTTCGTGAAAGAACAGATAAAAAAGGAAGACAGGCCCGTGAAACTTGGTGTGGACATAAAAGTTACAACTCTCTTGCGGGGGACCAGAGCCTCCTAAAATCGCATCTCCAAATGAGCATCCGCAGGGATCACAGAAAAGCGTCCATAGTTGCAACCATGCCCTCAGTCCTCAGTCCAGCGCCATTCGCGGGGCTTTCCCCGCCCTGTCAAAGGCTGACGCGCTTAAGGAGCTCCGCGGGTGCGTCCCCGCTTTGCGCCCATCTGTTACAGCGCCAAAGCTGTTGCCTCCCAGAAAGGCCGGAAGAAATCCAGCCTCGCTACAATGGCGCAGGCGGAATTTGGCGTGTGGTCTGAGTCTGCGGGAGCAGCCCGGCAAGTGCCGCGGGCAGCTCTGGGTGGGGGCTGGGCTGGGAGCGCGAGGCCGAACCCCGGGACCGCGGGGCGCTGAGGCGCCGCATTACCTCTCCAGGGCCTGCAGAGTGTAGCTGATGAGCGGCCTCTCCAGGATGGGGCAGAACTGCTTCGGGGTGGGGACGCCCATCCTCTCCCCGCTCCCCCCAGCGGGTAACACTGCGGCCACCGCCGGCGCGCGGCGCTCCGGCTCGGCCTCGGCCGCGCCCGGCGAGAGAGCCCAAGTTGCCTGCTCCTCGCCGGGCAAGCTGTGCAAGCAAGGCCCCGGCTCCGCGGGCCCGCAGGCGCCGCGCAGCCCGAGCTCCATGGCGGGGTGCAGCGAGTGGGGCTACGGGCTCTGCGGCCGCGGGTGTCCTCCGCCGGGGTAACGGGGTGCAATAGCAGGAAGGCAGATGTGCAGATCGCGTAGGCAGCGCCCACCCGAACGGTGCGGGCCAGGAGGCTGAGGGATCCCAGGGGACAAACCGGCTGTCTCTCTTCCCTCCTGGCGTGTCTGTGGCCTCCGCTCCCGGCCCAGCGCCCCCGGGAGGGCTGACTTTCTCGGCTTTCGCTTCACCACTGCAGAGCTAGAATCATTGGGCTGCAAGGGTCACTCATATAGCGAGGCCTTCCATTAAACTTAACTGCGCTGACTATGCAGTAGAGATGATGAATGACCTCCCACTCCTCTCATTTTGAAGACATTTGGAGGAGATGTGTATTCACATCACAGGACTGGGATGAAAATAAGCACCTGCATTGTACGGCTTTCAAGAAGTCCCCCAGGAAGGGATGGGCAGGTGTGACTATGAAACAGCAATAACGCAGGTAATCGTAGTTTTCAAATTAATCTTGAAATTGGACTCACTTTGGGGACTTTAAAGTGCTGAGGCCTCAGAGATTGGGATTTAATTCGTCTGGTGTTGGCCTGGGTTTTGGAATGTTCTTAAAGATCCCCAGGTGGTTCTGATGGGCAGGAACATTTTGGATATTTGAGGAATATCTTGCCCATATTGGATACTGTCCTTGCTTAGCCATGTTTACCATGAAAATGTTTGTGAAGAAATTGGAGTGTCAGCATTTTGTATTAGGTGCCTGAAGTGTAAACTCCATGACAGCAGGGACTTACTTTTCTTTTTTTAATTGAAGTAGCACTGGCTTATACTATAAGTTTCAGATGTGCAGCACTGTAAATAAACTCTGTTGTGTTCACTAACAGAAGTCCGGTTTCCATCCTTTTCCTACTTTTTTGGTTTGGGTTGTATGCCCTGTTGTATGTGACAGAAGCTTTTTAGATATTTATTGAATGAATTATGGATTCCATAAATTAATAGTAATTGAAGTTATATAATTATTTGCATTTCACACTTTTCCATCTTTACCCATCAATAGTTAAAATCAGACAAAAGGAATTTTTGGAAATCAAGACCCCCCCAAAAAAAATACTGTTAATTAAACACCGACACTTTATTTAAAGTGACTGAAATTTTATTACTTAAGAATTGTATTGCCCATTCTAGAAGGTTTTTTAGATCTACTTAGATATAGATATGTATTAAAATATCTAGAAAACAGAAGTAAAATATATTAACTAAGGTATTCCAAAATCTTGAAATTCAGAAATTGGCACTAATGATTGATTATATTTTGGTTCTAACTTATATACATGTTCTCCCACAAAATTCCAATGCTTTTCTCTATGTAGCCAAAGGATTGATGAATCTGGATATCTCCAATACTATTGCTCTATTTATAATACTACTATCAGTGGCATCAAATTCCGTGACATTAACACCATTTACTAGTTTTATTGCCCTTAAAAAGTTAATAGAGGGCCTTCCCTGGTGGCGCAGAGGGTTAGAGCACAGCACTAAGAAGCTAAAGCCAGTTCAGCATGAGTTGGATCCCCAGCTCCAGAGGTGACCACATGGCACGGCAGACCTCTGCTGACTGCCCACTGCTCCCCTCAACAGTGTACTTTGTCGATTTGCAAGTTCTTCTCCCCACTCTGTCTCTGGTGAATCCTCTCACCGCCACTGTACCTCTGGCTTGTACCCCAGAGTTCTGTATGAATAAACAAATCTTTAAAAAAATTTTTTTAAAAAGTTAATAGAAGGATTTCAAGCAATAACCATAACTTATATTTTTGCCCCACCATCCCTTGAACTCCACTGACCTTCTCCCTCCCCACTCACATTTATTAGTGTTCTCTAATTTTTTTTTTTTTAAGATTTATTTATTTGTTCATACAGAACTGGGGTACAGGCCAGAGGCTCAAGGGTGGCGAGAGGCTTCACCAGAGACAGAGTGGGGAACAGAACAGGCAGATCCACGAAGTACATTGCTGAGGGGAGCAGCAGGTGGGTCAGAAGAGGTCTGCCATGCCTTGTGGTCACCTCAGGGGCAGGCAGGGATTGAACTCACGCGGAAGTGGCTTTAGTTTCTCAGTGCTGTGCTTTAACCCGCTGTGCCACCAGGGAGGGCTGTGTTCTCTAATTTTTATGAGTATTTGTCAAATTGTCCACCATGTTAACATCCATTATAAATCTTTGTCATTCTGACTTTCTTTACTATACATAATTCCCTGCAAGTCCATTTTGCTTTAAATGACCACATTTTGTCTTACCAGTGGCTGAATAACATTCCCACTCCTTTATTATTGTTAACAACTTTTTGGTGGAGTCTTTGGGTTACAGATATGTGTCTTATATTACATCAGCTAAAATTAAAGATCGTTTCACTTTTTCTTTTACAATCTGGATTCCTTTTATTTCTTGTCATTGATTTCGCTAAAACCACTAATAACTAAATTAAATAGGAATTAAATAGGCATTCTGTCTTGTTCCTGATCTTAAAAGATTTCAGTTTTTCAGCATTAAATATATATTGGCTATATAGAAATATATTTTACTTCTATTTTCTTTTTCAATGATTGCATAAGAGTAACATGATTAAAATCTATACCTGAGTAAATCTAAATACTTTCTAAAATATGAAATTAAAATTCTTAAGTAATAAACACATAACATGTTAGTGTTTAATTAGCATTATTTTATCTTGGTCAAAAAAATCCTTTTTATGAATATATGGCCTTTATTACGTAAGTTCCTCCTATTTCCATTTTATTTAGAATTTTTATCAAAAATGGATACTGAATCTTATCAAATACTTTTTCTGCATCTCGTATTCATATAATGTGTCACATTGATTGACTAACATATATTAAACCATCCTTTTATCACTGGGGTAAATCCCACTTGAACATGATGTTTATTGAATTTGATTTGCCAGTATTTTGTTGAAGATTTTCGCATTAAAATTCACTGGAACACTGTAGCTTTATTTTCCTATGCCCCTTAACTAGACCCTGAGCATACTATTGCTTTTTCAATAAACACTTTATCTTGTCACTAACAAAGTATATTGTACTGTAACTGTTGAAAGCATCATTTTGTTAGACATATAACACAATTTTTTAACTTCACTTTGGCATGTCTTCACTTTCTAGTGCCTATTAAAATGCCCTTTATGTGGTAGTGGCTTTATATCTGAAATAAGCATCTTTTTTTTTTTATTTTTTTTTTTTAAGATTTATCTATTTATTTGTACAGAACTGGGGTACAGGCCAGAGATGCGGAGGGTGAGAGGATTCACCAGAGACAGAGCGGGAAGCAGAACAGGCAGATCGACTAAGCACACTGCTGAGGGGAGCATGCGGGGGTCAGGAGAGGTCTGCCTCGCCATGTGGTCGCCTCCGGGGCAGGCGGGAATCGAACTCATGCGGAAGTGGCCTTAGTCTCCCAGTGCAGTGCTTTAACCCGCTACGCCACCAGGGAGGGCCTGAAATAAGCATCTTTATATTTGAAATACCCAAAACTTCCCTTTTATAATCTTTTTCTATGTATATCAGTGTATATCAATATACACTGCATGATTTATCTTGGACATATTTAAAAATTATTTTTAGAGAATATTAGATCAATTTGGATTAATTTTTCTAGTATTAATTCAAGAAATTAGCATTGTCAGTGATTCCCTCCTCCCTAACCACACTTATTGTTTTAGTAGCATTTCTAGAGGTTAGTAGGGGTGTTGTTCACAAATGCTAATGAGCTGCTTAATGGTTTACCCTTTAATTCTGTTGAAATAAAAGCCAAAGAAAATAAATTATGTTCTACCATGGGTCAGGCCCAGTATTTCTCTCAGTCTGTGAATTCTAATTCCTGTTTTGTCATCGTGTATCTAATGTAAATAAATGGCACAGCCTGTTAACCTTTGTCCTTTAATTCATTGTTAGACATAAAACAAAATGACACTCAGATTTGAAGTATCTTTGTGGATAAATCAAACTAAACACATGACAGCAAGAGTGTTATCTTTTATTTTCTCAATATTTCTTGCAAAGTTAATTATCAAATGTCTCAACCATTTTGCTTTTCCTCTGTAGCCAAAAAGAGAAACAAGGGTGAACATTTAGCCTTATAAATTAATGACAAATTAGATATTATTAATGGCACCAAAGTTTAACTTTTCATAATAATCACTTGGAAACAATAGTTAATAGATATAAAATTTGTATATATTTTATATATAAGTTACAAATTACATAATAATTTTAGAAAATGCATTCCTGGACTTTCTGAAAGAAAGAAGTTGTAATAATTGTTATAACAACTAGAAACTAATATAGCTTCATGCTGAAAACTTTCTGAGAGAAATTTTGAGCTCAGTAGGTCTGGAGCAGGCCTAGAAATCTTCATTTTAATAGGCTTCCTTAGGTGGCTTTAATGTTCGTGTGGACTAGACTTAAGTAAAAAACCTACACTTCAAATCATTTTATATTCTATGCATTTAATTTCAGGACTTAAAGCAAAATGTAAGTCATATGTAAAACATGTCATGTAAAAATTCATAAGAAATCCATTAAAACAGACTGTTTTATTTCCTCGCTAACTTACAAGTAGAGAAAGACAAGGGGGAAATGTTAAACTACCAGCAAAAAAAGGTAGAAAAATGGAGAATCGAATGCTAATCCCATCTCCTATATATTGTGGACTAGGTTGCAGGCCACCCTAATAAAGTGAATATGGCAATCAAGCAAATCATGTGAATTTTTTGGTTTTCCAGTGAAAATAGTTATGTTTACACTATAATTTAGTCTATTAGATGTATAACAGTGTTATATTGAAAAAAAAAAAAAACGTACTCGCCTTAATTAAATGTGGCAGGGAGACAGGAAATGAGCACACAGTACTGTGAAATGGTGCCAATACATGTGAGGTATGCCTGTATTTCCTTGGCTTTTCCATAGTTCTGTCTTTGAAAAACACCTCAGCTCTGAGAACCACCAAAGGCCATGTCTTTGACCATAATTTAAACTGAGTTGAAATTGTTGCCTAGAACTCTGCTCTCAGCTGAATTCAAATGAGAACTGCTACATAACTCCAGAAACTAAGATGAGGGAATGACCTACATGAATAAGGAATGTGGGTGAATATCATTGA